CTGATACAGACCTAACCAAAGGGCTTGGAACCGGTCAGTGAGGGCCCATCGGCTGCCACAGTCCCGCGTCTGACCTGGGGGCAAGCCGAACTGAGTCTAAGTGAGCGAGGACCACAGACGGGAAGTAAGGGACTTGGGGGCATTTCCAGACACACAGGTCCCGCTGAGCACTTAGAATTCCCACCACTTATTTCACTGCACGTCAGTTAGTGAAGAAGTTTCGTTGGGTTAATTCATCTGTCCGTTAAATCACCGCTTACTGTTAGAGAAGGGGCAACAGACAGGTATGTCACTGAGCGGAAGCCAGGCCAGGGGCCTAGGCAGGTGGCCGACCCCAGGGCCCTGCAGCTGGGGCGGGAGACAGCAGTGCAGGCAGGGGCTCTGACGGCACGCGTGACCTACGCCGTGTGAGGAGGAACGCCCCCACATTGGAATTTATTTGTAAATAATTATGTATTTATTCTTACGTGGTTAAACTTCAGCCGCCTTCAAAGTACTATCTATTTGATGCAATACACCTGAAGAGGCATTTTTTCCACAGCGTGAAACAGTTTTTGAGCACTTCAATTTTGATGCCCTTTAGTGCCTTCTATGTTTTGTTTTATCTCTTCCATATCAACAAAACGTTTTTCTTTGAGGACTTTTTTCATCAGGGGAAACAAAAAAAACATTGCTCAGGGGGAGACTGGGTGAGTAGGGAGGGAGGGGCACAGAGGTCAGGTGCGCTCATATATCACCCACCAAGAAATGGGCAGGTGGTTGAAAGAGTATTAAAAAAAAAAATCACTGAAGTGGAACGCAGCCTCTCACAACAATGCCAGCTGGCACACCGATACAGACGGGTTCCTGGAACACTCACCTCATGGGGGAAGCCTGCACTACAAGGGGCCCACCCTCCGGAAGATAATTTTGGTTTTTATTTTGGGTTCCCCCTTATAATTTTGTGTTTTTTTATCATGTTGGTCTCAGCATTAGAGATTACAAAATAAAATGAAGCAAAAGATTTGTAATTGTTTGTAGAGAAATATATATGCTTCTTTTTATGAAAACAGGGAAACCTGGTAAGGGATGCCCTCTTATGAGAAGATACAGAATGCTTTATTTGATATTAGTTATAACAGGATCATTCCAAAAAGGCCAAAGTAAGACACAGGGAAGCAAAGGACTTAGGTCAGCATGATTGTGTTTCAGTATTTTGTAAACTTTCATGGGTCACACTGTGCTGTGAGGACCAGGTATCTGCAGGTGACCTGAGGTGCCCTTTCTGGGCTGCCTTGGTGGCGAGTCAGCCGGTGCGGGGGCTTCCCCGTCAGGGGAGATGCTGTGCCCACATTCAGCATTTCTTGCCGAGGGATGCTTTCCTCCCCAGCAGGGACGCCTGCAGTCCTGCACGGGCCTCGAGTTCTCTGGATGTTGTAAGGCTGACTGGCTTTCCTGGCAACTTCAGTAAACAGCTGGCATCTAAAACCAGCCCACCTAGTACCAGGGGTCTGTCTGTCACTCCCAGAAGAAACCCATTTTGTCCTTCATGTCCTTTTCAAAGGTATGAGCACAAGTGGCCAACACCAGGCCCGTGGGCCGAATCCGGCCCTCCACCTTGTTTTATCTGTTCTGGCACCTTGTTTCTACCTGGTAGCAGCGCTGAGCTCTCACTTAACAGTTAAGAAGTAGTTACATTTATATAGTTCTAAACTTACATTCGGCCCTTTGAAGGTAAACTCGAGGCTGATGCGGCCCCCGGTGCAAATGAGTTTGACACCCTGGTGTAGAGGAAAGGGGCTTGGGTCCCTTTGCTGGTAGATAAGCTGCACTCTTTGTCCCCAGTGTGCCCTGGCTACCTTTCAGTGGGGACAATATGTGACCCAACCTCCTCTACTCTTCCCGAGCCTCACTGTGCAAGCGTCCACTTTCTTCTGTGAAGTCTTTACTTAGGCCATATTCTGTGACATTGTGCTTCCCTCAAAGGTACACACATAACAGGTTGCAATCCATGAGACCCACCTTTAGAATAATGGTAAAGGCAACATGAGTGATGGTATACGTAGCCCAGGTTTAACTTGAGAGACTTAATAACACGTAGCACAATGGCATTTTCTTCATGACTAAACTTACTCCTGTGCTCAGGGTTAGCTCTCAACGTAGAGCTGATTGCCTCTCCGTAGGTGCCGTGATAGCCTGGCGAAATAAAATGCTCCCCTAACTTAAAGTCTAATCTCACGACTGTTCATCCTATTGCTCTCTGTAGGTAAGCACGAGCAGGCCATCAAATGAAGTGTTCATGGTCAGCTTTCATAGTGGCTCCTGAGTGAGAAGGCAGAGCCCTGAATGGCCTCCTCTGTGCAGTCACTGTCACTGACGATGAAGGTCGTCCAGCTTTGGCAGGACGCCCGGCTCTGCCGGGGGCACGCTGAGCGGTCCTGGTGTGGCTAACAAGTTTGGGTTCTAATATCATGAAAAACCAGTTCAGCCCTACACAAGGGCAAGTCATCACTCAGTTATTACTTCTTACTGTTGTTATTGCTGTTGGAACATTGGTTAATTTGATTCCGTTCTCTGAATTAAACTTCAACCACGATTAGTTTTTTTGACAGCTAAGGACATTGCTCATGAATGAGGGAACACAGCCTTGAACTGGTTTTCACAAGTCTGTCTTTTAAGCTTTGTGCCTGAATATAGTGGAAGCCTGTTCTTGTTTTCTTTCTTTCTTTTAACATAGTTTATTGTGTCAATTCAAATAGGTCACGAGTCCATAATGTCCCCTGAAACAGAACATCTGCTTGTAATCAAAGCCTTGCACATGTCATGTGTTCAGCTCACTCACGGGTATTGAGAGCTGCTTACCTACCACTTCAGTATGAAAAAAAGATTTTATTAAGTCTTAGACAAAATCTACATTGGTAACTGAAATAGAACACTGAGTGCTATTTAAGTTGAAGTGCTTTACAAAGGTAGATAATTATAATAATCGATCGAAAATTATACACCGTAAGAAGCTCTTTATTTTTAACCCCTAGCTACACAGAATTTTATTTTACTTTATTATTTATTCTATAAATCCTCACCTGAGTATATGTTTATTGTCCCTAGAGTGAGAAGAAGGGAGAGTGAGAAGAAAGGACAGAGAGAGAAGGGAGAGAGAGAGAGAGAGAGAGAGAGAGAGAGATTGGTTGGTTGTTTGCTGTACATGCCAAGACCAGGAATCTGTGGGCTCCAAGACCAGGGACCCACAGCCTAGGGGATCTGACTGGGGATCTAACCTGCAACATTTTGATGTAGAGGACAATACTCTGAGCCAATGAGCAACCTGGCCAGGGCCAGAATTTTATTGATCATTGATCATAATCTTTGGTTCAATATGTGTGTTTCAATATTTTTAGTAGTATAGTGAACACCTGTGAACCCACTGCCCAATCTCAGAACAAGGACATCACCAAAAATAACATCTACTTGTACTATTGCTCTTTATGGCAAATTAACCTGGATTGCCCCTTACTGGTTGTTTTGTTGTCATTATCACCCTCATTATTTCCTTGAGCTGAGCAACACATGAAGATAGATTGTAAAAACACATCGGCTATTCAAGTTTATGCCCACAGGCTATTAAACTGCATGCCACAGGAGGTTAAGATAATACAACCAATTCTGGATTCTTCTGGTCCATCCTAAATTACCATGCTCCTTTGGGAGTTCTCTATTTGCAACTGCAGCTTCAACTGCCTACCTAATGAGAAAGTCGTTCTCTTAGCAGGTATCAACATCATCTGTTCCTGAGGCTTCCTGACCGTTTAGTTGCAACCCTTGGTTGATTAATTTGCTCATCTGTTCATTTATTCAGAGAACACTCCCTGAGAGCATGGGCACTGGGCTTGGCAAGAGGGTTTCAGAGTCCAAGTGGGGGAGGGGGCGTTGCCGAGAGATCATTGTCACGGGAAGTGAGGACTGTGGGAAAATCTCTGTACAGAGGAAGCTGTCTGGGCAGGCAAGGGCTGTGCTCTCTATTCTGGCAGAGTTTGGGGAGACCACCGGGGGCAGGTGAGGTTTGACACAGGGATTTTCCTGATGAAGAAGAGGCTCAGCTTTATGGCAACACTGAGTAAGGTTACTCTAACAGGAACAGGGAAGGATATTTGAGACCACATCCTAGGTGCTTCCTCCCATTCTGGACGTCTGCTGGCTTTGTTCAGTTGTTTACACCTGCCACTAGCCCAAGAATGAAACAGCACAAAATGATGCTGGGACCCCCAGCCCTCAGCAGGGTTTGAATCTGGACAGATACCATTGAAGCAAAATTTTGTGAACAAACAGAAAGATACACGTGATCTATCTCAGAATGTGTAGCGGGCAGAAATAATAGGGAGAGAAGCACAGAATGAGGAAAAGCCATTGTGCTTCACACATCTTGACTAAACCCAAAGATAAAAGTGCCTTGTAGTATTAGTAATATTGCAGTGCTATCCCAGAAGTAACTGTCCTTCTGTCTGTTGTACATGCATTCAGTTCTGTGTTTTTCCTACAATGGAAATGCCAAATGCATTTGGAAAACCCAAGAACCAAACAGAATACAGTGCCCCCTGGGGTTTCTCCTTCATCTGTTTGCTGGAGATAATGGGGGAACAGACTTGTAAACACAGATTAGAAAAGCATCACTTGGGTATGCAGCCTATATAATGATGCTGTAGCAACGATTCTTCGTTTCTTACAGTAATTGAGTCACATGCTTATAATATAATTCTGCAGCCAGAGCAGATAGCAGATTTCTGTGGACCCGAGTCTCTTAATTAGATTTTGGTGGCTTAGCCACAGGAAGCTATCAGAGGTTAAAGACTTAATTTTTCTCAGTGGTGTGTCCTAAAGAAAAACAATCAGTATGCAATTTTCCTACCTGCTTCTCTACCTTGTAACATTTTATTTTCTCTGCTTTCTTTTGCCATTGTCATTAAGCTATTCATTATCATGATTTTGATAAATGGGCCAACACTGTCTTTGTTCTTGCTTTCTAGAATCATCCTCTAGTTAGGAGAGTCTGCCTTGGCTGCTGGGAGATCCACAGCTCATCTGCACCAGACCGAAACCCAGGAGCAACCCTCTCAGGTGGGCACGCAGGATAGGTTCCCCAAATTCCTCTTCCTTCTCACAAACCTTAGTTTTAAAAATCACCCCCACCCAGTGGTGAGGAAGGCCATTCAGAAGTTTCATTTAAATTCCCTCTCATCAGATGGGTTACTCTCAGAGGCTGTACTGAAGGTTATTTTCAGATTTCAAAGACAGATTTCAAAGACATCACTCCATACTCAGGGCCAAAAGTAAGACACAGCAAGGCGGCAATGGTGAGGCATGGGGAGCACTGAGGGTTTGATGCATTCTTTTCCATACGGAGGCCTCATAGTCTCTGGAACACTGGAATAGTGCTGTCGTATTTTACTTCTTTTGATGCCATGGGGCTCTCTGAAGATGGAGATTTTGATATCCTGCACTCTTCCAAGCAACAGAAACTTACCTTCAGGATCTGAGCCCTGAGAACAGGTCACAATTTGGAAAGATACCTGAAAATGTCAGGCAGGACCAGAAACCCAAGAACCAAGCTGAATTTCTCAATCCTCCTTTGATTATTAAGGTGAGTTGGATTGGATTGTTATCCATTTCACTTACGTCAGTTTTCTCACAAGTCATGACTCCCTCTTCCATCTTGTGGTACCAGGTAGGGACGAGGTGGGACCAGGTGAAGGGAGTCCCTGCCTGTCATCTCATTAAGGGCAGGGTTTACCCCTCCTCTTCCAACCCAACACAAGCTCACAGAGCCAAACATTAAAAATCTTTTTGGAGTTGCAGTTGAGTTACATAAAGGCTTTAATAAGTGTTAGTGAGTTCCTGACAAATTCTAACTCCTAATGGACTCCTCATTACAACCCTGTGATGTAGGTACTACTATTATCATTCCATTGTATAGACAAAAAGGCTGAGGTGCAATGGGGTAAAGAACACAGCTGGGAAGATGGGAAAGGAGTTTCAACCCAGCAGTATGCTCTGGGGTATGCACTCAGTGCCCGTGCTGGACTGTGCTCCTGCCTGGTGCTGGCTGGATCTTCTCTAACAGCTCTTGGAAAAACAGATGTTGCATGTTAAAACTAAAAACAAAAAAATAAGCTCATATAAAACCTCTTCATAATAGCAGGTGACCCGTACCTTTGTGCTCGCTCTTTCCAGGTAGTATTTGAATTAGAGTGAGCTCATGATGTGGAGGGTGTGGCAGACTAAGGTTGTTGGCCTTTTTGAGGAGATGCCTACCCTTCTGAAGATTTAGGAAACTTGTATTCATTGGCACAACCCTCAAAAATATAAATAAAAGAGAAACAAATTGAATAGGCTTTTAAATTGTAAACTTGAAAGAAAAGTGTAGAAAAATCAATGGCTCTGTTTTGATAGTCAAGGTCAAAGAATTCATTTCCTTGTTCAAAATGAACCACTTCTCCTGGGTCAGACTTTATAGCCTTCTATAATTTATGTACTCCCCAGTGTAGGAGGCTCATGGAAACTCAGTGAAATTGCTTCAGGAAACCATCATCATCTATTTATTTGAATTCTGAATTGTCCTCCAGGGATTATGTTTATTGCTACCTTTTATAGTTCCAGTGTGTATGTGACATCTGAGCGGTATTTTCTCCTAATGTGGTGTTAAGGTTAGAAACCAAAATTGCATTGATTTTTAGCAAAATAACGGTTTTTTGTTGACTTGTTAGACTGTCCTTGTCTTTGACTATATATTATAACTTAGCATAGAGAATGATTTATGAAAATGTCTATTCATTTTGAGTTTCAGAAAAAAATTGCATGAAGGATCCATCCAAAACGGTAGCACTTCCTGCTTTGTACCTAATTTGAAAGTCTCATTTAATGTAATGCCGAGCCTCTCTGGGCACTAAATTCCATAGATCTCTAGTTGAAAAATAGGTAAAGATGCTAGATGGTGAGTGAAAATAGCTCAGGAATGGGCCAAAAGTAGCGTATCCGGAGTACCTATTCTATACCAGGAATTATGCTAGTGCTTTATACATGTTTTCTCATTTAACCCTCAAACCAATGGTATGACGCAATTTCTTATCACCCCATTTTATGCCTAAAGAAAGCAACTTCCCAAGGCTTTCGGTATTTTTCTCAAGGACTCAAATTAAATGAGGGGCTGAAACACAGGTCCACCTCTTGTAAAATGCAAGGTGCTCACACCATCCAAGGTGTACCACGACTCAGAAGCCCTGGGTTTATTCATTTCACTGATTTTTACTTCGCACTTGATCTGTGCCAGGTACTTATCTATTTGCCAGGGATTTGATAGTGTTTGGGACATACATTATGGCTATTCTGAAGCCTTGTCTTCCAGATGGAGATGGGGAAGATCCAGGTTGAGGGGAGATGACCAGAAGGAGCAGCCATCTAAAAGAAGAGCCCCCAAGCAGAGGAAGAGCTTGCAGAAAGGGCCTGAGGAGGGCATGAAAAAATGATGAGAGAGCACACGGAGAAGGAAGAGCGGGCGGGGGGTGTGGCTGGAAAGGTACTGGAGGCCTAGATCATGTACAGCCACGTGGGCCAGAGTAAGACATTTGGATTTAAGAAGCATCTGAAGGGTTTTAAGCAGGAAATGATATAATTTGCTTATTTTGAAATTCAAAGAATGAATTAAAGAAAGGACTATGGAATCAGGAGGACCAGTTGTGAAGTCATAATAATAATAGACCAGGCAAAAGTTGCTGGTGCCTTGGCTGGGTGGTGGTGGTGGGGATGGGAGAAGTGGACCACGAGGGATGCATCCTGGAGGCAGGGGTGCAGGACTATCTGGTGCCTCCGTACTTAGCTGCGTTGCAAAGAAAATGAGAAACTTTCGAATGACAGTTAGTACCTTTGGGCACCAAGTTTACCCTTGTAAGAATGAGTTCAACTTGGATTCCAGTTGTACAAATCTAAGTCTCACAATAGCCCATTGTAAAACATAACAGAGAGAAGATGATTTTATTTATATAACAGCACACATTATAAAACGTATGAAGAAAGTCAGTAAATTAGTGAGAAAGTCAGAGAAAACTTGAATGAATAGACATGCCTTGCTTGTTCCTAGATGGAACAATTTACTCAAATTGTAAGGCTACCAATTCTTTTTAAATTATTCCAATTATGTAATACAATTCTAACCATAATACCATGCTAAATCTTAAATGCATTTGAATGAATAAACTTTTGGTCATGATAAAGGAAAAATTTCCCTCTAAGGCATTAATATGGCTTGTAAAGCTATAGTAGCTGAAATAGATAATAATGGCAGAGGGATCAGGAGAAGAATCTATGGAATAGAGAGATAATTCTAGAAATATAAATATATTAAAAGTTTTGGTCTGAAGTAAATATGTAATTACAAATGAGTTATGAATTTATAGATTACCCATGTTTTTCGAACCATAAGAAGACACACCTAGGTTTTAGAAGAGGAAAATAGGAAAAAAAATTGAAGCAAAAAACATGGTAAAATATTTAATAACATAAAAACATAATATTTCACCAATGTAAATGTAAACAGAACTCAACAGCAGCATTAACAACCATTATTCCTCCCAAATTTGGCAGGGGAAGGGGCAAGTGTATGTTGTAGTCTGAAAAATATGGTATTTTAGTAAATGGTATTTGGACACTTGGCTTAATAAATTGCAAGCAATTAAGTATATCTTATACCAATAAACTAATTATTAGACAAATTGAGCATTTATTACTAGATAAATTAAACATATCAATGTAAAAAGTATTTTGAGATGTAAGAAGAAAATTTAGGTATTTTTATAACCTTGAAGTAGAGATAGATTCTTTTGTAAAGATGATGTCGATCTCAGCAACCAAAAAAAAAAAGAGAGAGAGACGAAGTTAAAGTTCTCTGCAATTAAAAAACTTAAAAATGAAAAATTTAAAGAAATATATTTGACACATTATTTTGGCAAATGATTACTATATATCTCTGAAAGAAAGTTCATTTCTGAGCTCTGTTCTCAGTTTAGCTCTGAGCTCTGAAAGAAAAATGAATGATGGACATGAGTAAGGAGTTCAAAAAGAATTAACACAGATACCAAAAAACATATGAAAAATGGTCTACCCCAGCACTAATTAGGGAAGAGCAAGTAAAATGTCAAGGAGATTTTATTATTTCCCCTTTTGAATTGGCCAAGCTGGTAAAGTACTGATACCCAATGCTGGTAAGGGTACGGGGAAGAGGATGCCGTTGAACATGTTGCTGACAGGAACGAAAGTTCACACTTCCCAAGGCAATTTCACAATATGTGGAAAACATATCCTTGTTTCTAGGAATTAATCTTAATGATATAAAGATATGTGTAAGAAGTCAGCTACTGGGGTATTTATCACAGGACTCTGTAAGACGTCCAAAAAGAGGATGGATTATATACTTTACGGTGTAGGGATAACTAGAGAAAACAGTCATTAAATATGATGTGGTAGAAGAGTCCTCAGTGACGTAAAAGACCTTCAGACGTATTTCAAATGCAGATACAAAGCTTATACAGCAGCATGTTAAGCGTGGGTGTATTTTTTGGTGAAACTGAGTATATGCATGTACAATGCATGTTTGTTTGAGGAGGTTGGGTCATGTCTCTGAGTGAGCGTGGTTATATTTTGTACTTCCTTATGTATACCTAATTTTAAAAATCAACCCTGAATATATTTTAAAGCACTGTAGCTAAGAGCATGGTTCTTAGCTAGGCAGGCCTCTGCATATCTACTGAGTGCCCTTTGACACTGGTTGGCTAACTGGATCTCAGGTGTCCACCTATAAAGCGTCCGTCATAATAATGCCTCCCTGACAGATGGTTGTACTAAAATAATGCATAGAAAATGCATAGCAAGTTCTTGTCACAGCTATTTCTATTAATTATTTTACTTTTTTACTATTGATATTTTATCAGTTATAAAAAATATCCTTTTAAAACAGAATGGATTGACTCTGCAATTTGATAAAATTGGATTAGCATCAGCTTCTCTTCTTGGAGGATCAAAACCAGTCGGTTTTATTTCTTATTTCTCACCTGTCCCAGATGTTATCTCTGTTTTGCACGATGCCAGTTGCTGCCAGCCGGGGCAAGGCAGTTCCCACTCCTTGCTGGGATGGTAAAGCCACCTCAGCATTACTGTTTCTGAGCCTCATCCCTGGGGTTCACACCTGCTCTACAGTTTCAGAGGGTCAGCTGTGAAAGGACTCAGTTTGGGAGGAGAAAATTAGGCTACGAATAGTGACTGAAAACTCCCTAAGTAGTCCTAATGTTTCCTTGAGTGATTGATAAACAAGATAGAGCATATTAAGGTGGTAGTGAGGGCTTTTAAAAGCTGGTGTGGTGCAAAGGGTTTGTGGTACAAACACAGTGCATGTGATTCCTTCTGAAATTTGCCCAGAAAGGGGCAGGGAGCCAACCTGTGGGTTACTTATCACTAATGATGTCTTTGTTTAGACCTGTGATCATGCCATTCATGTTTCAAGAAATAATATTTTCCAAAGCAATGCCTCTTATGCTTGTGTTCAGTTATACCCATGGTTATCTGGGGCTTAAGATGAGGAGGGAGGAATAATTTTGCCTTAGATAACTGTCAAACTATTGTTGTTGAACTCTTGATTCCTCATGCTCCTTCTCTTGCTCAATTACTTCTTCCTCCTTATTTGTGAAACACATTCATCAATTGGTATTAAGTTTTTAAAATTCAGGAATGGGTAGACTTAACAGTTGAAAGAAGTTCTCTATCCATCCTTGCTTCACATTTTTGCTATTTAAACACAGTGGTCCATCTGAAGACTGCAGGGAGTAGATGGTAACGAGTTATATCACCTCTTTGCCTAGTTAAAGAACATCAACAGACTCTCCATTTAGTCCCTCGTGCCGTGAGTTAAGACAGTGGATAAATCCCTGGAACTGGGTGGTGGAATTGTTTTCCTCCAGGCATTTATTTCAGTCACAAAAGAAGAGCTGGATCCAATAAGATATATGCAGGCTGACAGGTGGCTTATTTAACTTAATATGGAAAAATATAAAATACTGGGAACTAGGTCAAAAATGGCAAAAAGGATTAGAGCTTAAATAGAGACAGGTTTCCAGACAATGAAGGGAAGAGAATCTGGCAGTAATAGTGTCTACAAAGCCCAACCCATCAGCTTCATGTCTGGCAGTAATTAGGAGGCCAAAGGAATACTGCAATGAATTGACTAGAGGACAAGAATAGAAAAGAGAAAGGGCTGATAGGCTTTGTGGAGCTGAATGGCCTTGCAGAGGAAGGGGAGGCTCACAGGAGGCAGTTCCCTGAGTTGGAAGGAGACAGCAGGGAGCCTCCTCTCTGGCCTCTTTGTGGGTGGCCGGGTGATTGACACACAGGAGGAGAGCAGAGACAGAGTAGATGGAGCACACAGTGAGAGTGGCATGAGGTGTCCTATTGCAATGACCTGTTGGCAATTCAGGTGCTACCATCCGTGACTTCTTCAGGTTCTACAGTTTGCTTCCCCCATGGGTCTTGTGGTCCACCTGTCACTGCTAATTTCTATCTATCTTCTTGCAACTAGACTTCAACAGGAGTCAGCTATTTAGAGTCCTTCTTAGTATGGATCCTTCAATTTCTCTTAACATCCTGCTATTGAGCCTTTCCCTCCTGCACTTCCCAGCCTCATGCCTCCCAGGGAGGCCAAGCACTTTCAGATATGACAGCCGTTTGGATCTGGATTTTCCAAGACTTGCCAGTCTGTTCCATTATTTAACCAGGACACATACCAGCTGGGTTTAAGAGTGCAGCTGGATGTTTTTCAAGGCTCATCTGAGCTTCAGCTGCAGTGTATTTGTGTGTGTGTGTGTGTGTGTGTGTGTGTGTGTGTGTGTGTGTGTTCTACATTAGGGATGCCAGTTCATGCTGGGAAGCCAAGCAGGAATCCTTTCTCTTCCATTTGCTCTGCAGAACACCATGTGCAAGGCGGTGTCCAGTCAACACTTTGCAGAGACAGGGGAATGAATGGGGCAGAAAGAACCACTGGTTCAAATACATGCTGAGCTCTGAAATCTGATTTCAGCTGTGGTTCTTCTTTGGCATTTGAAACAGTGTCCCAGGAAGATTGGAAAAGTGTAGTCCTCTTGGTGCCTTTGTTGCGCCAATACTCAGCAGGGGTGGGTTGAGAGCCTGAGGCCTCGGGTTTAATAGAAAATATCAAACAGCTTAGCTTTAGCAAGGTCCATACTGAAAAAGGAAAATTAACTCTCAGAGGTCACCTGAGATGCCTATAATGTCCTCCACCAGGAAAGATTGAGGCATTGGTTGACAGGTGTCTTATTTTGAGGACAGTCAAGTTGTTCACACAGACGGTGTCTCCTAATAGGCCTGCATGGCAGTGTGATGCCTAGACACAGGGCAGTGAACTTTGTGATTTGCTAGCTACCAAGATATATCCATGCAAGCTAAGTCATTCCTCTGAAAACTAAACTTAATTCACTCCATTGGAAATAAGCATTGCTCAGGGCATGGAGAGCAATTCCTGAACAAGACAGACATAAATTGTGGCCCTCAGTACTCATACATTCTTGTGGGTAGACAAGAAAACAGTTGCTGCCTATAGAGTTACACTAGGTGGTAAGTGCCATGTGAAAGAAAGACAAGAGGGGTGTAGGAAGTGTCAGGGAGAGGGTTAAATTGGATTGTCTTGAAATATTCAGATGTCTGGTGTAATTGTGGCTGTCTGGATAATTATTTTTCAGTTGTAGATTTTCAGTTTGTGTGAATGATAATATTCTTAGATTTGTATAGCATTATAATTTTCAAAGCACTTTCATACCTATTATGTATGAAAATATTATTTCCATAGACTTTGCTTCTGCCAATTTCATGTAGATAAGGAATTTGCTTCATTCAGACACAGGTTTGAACTATATTAAATTTGGACTTTACATTTAGGTGACTTACTGGGAAAATGTCCTTTTCTGTGTAATGAATGTGTTATTGTGAACTGCATCAGTCATTCTCTTGGAGGCCAGAGTGAGACTTCTCCCCAGTGGCCTGGTGGACTCCTAAGGAACTTTGGAAGGAGGTATTGTTCTTTCTCAGTGTGTGGGATACTGGGGAGGAGAGTCCCATTCCTTTGTCCTGTATGAAGACACATCAGTGAAGGAGAGCCCTTGCAAACCATTGTAACTCATATGTGGGGACACTCCCCAGTCATTGTCATGCCTAGGCTCTCTTGCGCCTCATGTCCAACTGGGCATTTCTCCTTGGGTGTCCTACTTTCACATCAAAGTCACTTTGTCTAAATCAAGCACATCCTCTTCTGACCGCTCCCTCTGCTCTTGCTCCTCCTCTTGAATTTTAAATCTTTGTGAATTCCTTAGACGCCTCCCCTCTCCACTTCCCACATATTTAGAAATCTGCCCTTTCTATCTTTTCTTCCAGTTGCTGTGAGGCTAGTTCAGGACGTGGGAACTCTGAACAAATATCCAAATAATTGCAATTGTCTTCTTTCTTGTGACCTCAATGTCATTTTCAATATTTTTTTCCCTTTTCAGCCTCTCGGCCTCTGGGAGCACAAACCTCATGCTCTAACTTGACCAGCTGAAAGTTCCTTGAAGGTTTCCTTTCTCTGTGCACTTACCGCCCCTCCCACCAGTCTCCAATGACAAGGTCAGTCTGCCTTTTCATTGTACTCTCTAACTCTGACTCACCCATCAAGTTTTTGGTCAAATGTAGCCTCATGAAACACAGGGTTGCTAGATAAAATACAGGACACCCTACTAAATATGAACTTCAGACAAATGAATACTTTTTTACTGTATTTCTTGAGTATTACATGGGACCTATTTGTCCTAAAAATATTTATTGTTCATCTAAAAGTCAAATTTAACTGGGCATCCTGTACTTTAATTTGCTAAATCTGGCAACTGTTCTCCAAGAAACCTTCTCTGGCTACTCTGATTCCTGCATGTCCCAGAGCTAAATGTCTGTGAAAGGCCTATAGTACTTTTTCACAACCTTGAATGTTTTTACAAGAGGATGCAGTCTAACTTTTTATAGGAGGGTAGTAAATTAAAAATCAGCACTGTTTGTCCTCTTTCATTCAACAGTTACTGAACACCTACTATGTGCTAGGAAGCCATGAAGACAGTTTGGATACAAAGGTAAAAATAGTCCGTGTTCAATTGTTTATTTTCTTCTTTAGATTTCCACATAAATGACTTAGCTCACTCAGCATAATACCCTCTAGGTCCATCCATATGATCACGAATGGTAAGACTTCATTCTTTTTTTACAGCCAAATAATATTCCATTGTATATATGCACCACAGCTTTTTTGTTCTCTAGTCTACTGATGGGCACTTAGAATAACTGTGTATGGTGCCAAGTGGGTACTATACTTATCAGGGGGATCACTTCATAAATTATATAATTGTCTAACTGTTATGTTGTATACTTCGGCTAGTATAAATAATATTGAATGTCGACAGTAATTAAAAAAAAAATAGTACTCGTTCTTAATAGTGCCTGGTTAGAGCAGCAGCCTCAACAGCGCACAGTCACAGTGCAGCAGGTTGGTGGCCACAGACAGTTCACTGTAGGGTGTTTGCTATTGGGTGCCTTCTCAGGAGGAGCTGTGTCTTAAAGGGTGAGTAAGTTTGAGGGAGGTAGAAAGAAGCTCTTTCCGGGCAGAGAGAGAAAGATAGACATAGGCCCAGGTGAGGGAGAGATTAGGGCGTGACCAGGAAGTTGGGAGAGCTTCATTGTTGTTTGAGGGGAGTTTTCATAAGACAGCACACGGTGCATCTCGAGGTCAAGTTGTTAAACATTTACCAGCACACCATGGAAAATGAGGTTTAGAGAGAAGACAAAAACCAGATCATGCAAATTTTGTATGTCATGCTTAGGAGGCTGAGCTTTATCCTGAAAATTGTAGTGAGCCATTGACCCATTTAGAGAAGTGAAATGCGCAGATGCATATTTCAGAAAGATAGCTCAGAGGAGGGCTTCAGGGAACAAGACTGATTCAGAGGCAGCTGCAATGATCCAGGCAAGAGATGCTGAGGTGGGTGGGATGGGGAGGTGGACACATTCAGGAGCTGCTAAGGGCATACACTCCCCAGGACCTGTGGCCAAATTGGATATGTAGGGTGATAGAGGGAAAGAAATGAACATTTCAAGCTTGGGCAACTTTAGGGATGGCAGAGACATTCATCAAGGTAGTGGTGACAGGGAGGTAAGCAGGTTTTGGGGGTAGGGATTATGAGGAGATCTGTCTGAACATGTTTTATTTCACATGTGGCATTTATTATATCTGGTTGCATTTTGTTACTCATTTTTTTCCTGTGCCCCTTTACTCCCCAGGTGGACTCTGATCCTTCTGGGCACCTGGACCATATCAACTGACCTGGGTGTGTCCCCAGTGTCTTGAACTCGTTACCACTCCTTGCAGATTCACTTCACCACACGCTGGGACACAAAGCCCAGGCTAAGCCTGCAGGCAGCTGCAGCCAATATGGTCTGCACGGTTGAGCACAGCAGGGACTTTGAGCAAGGACACGATTTCACCCCCACCACGTGTTTCTCCTCTGAGGGAAGCTGAACACCCCAGGTGACCTTGCCCCCTCTGGGAGGGGGGACGCGTTTCACAGTGGCAGCAGGAGGCTGCGGGTCAGTGAGGGTGATGACCAGGCCTGCAGAGATCCTGCTCTGTCTCTGCAGAACCCCATAAATCTTTCCATCAGGAGTAATTCCCTTTGGATCAAGAGAGCCCTCTGCATTCCTGAAATCAGTGAAGGCAAAATGTACAAGGATTTCTGAGAAAAGTGAATGTGGTGTGAGCATGATCCCTGGGTGTTACTATGCAGAGAGAAAGCCTTTTTTTTTTTTTTTTAACTCCACTGAATGGTGTTCTTTGCTCTCAAGTTAACTCATGCACTGGATTTGGTCCAAGAACATTTTGTTTCTTGATTTCTAGCCAGGCTTCTCTCAGTTGTGGCACATTCCCCTCTTTGCACCCTTCCTTTCCTTGTCCCTTTCTTTCTCCCTTTCTTTTTTTAATTTTTAAATAATTATTTCAACTTTCCATGTGACTAAACTGATATAGAGGAAAACCCACCAGCTGAGGTAGGGCTTCCCCTGGAGCGAGGCCCAAGGGTCTCGGAAGGGCTGGCCCCTCCCTTCCCCAGCAACGGCCTGCACAGCAAGGTATGTCTGAAAGCAGCTGAAGCAGAGAGCGTTTGAACTCTGCCCCCTGCCAAATGAGTTCCAGATGTGTCAACTCCAGCCTCCTCTGTTCTCCGACTGTAGCCCTGCCAACATACATCTGTAGATTGCTAGTGCACAGGAAACATGAAAGAGTATCTTTTACCACATCTGCTCTTTCCCCAGCTCTCCTCCTCTGCCTCCTCGGACCTTGCCCTATATTTCTTTTCCCCCCTTCAGCAAATTCATTAAGGAATCGCTGCACAACTCTCCTTGGCCGCAGATGCCAGCTCGTCTGTCTTCCCCCAAGCCTGTTCGTGGTTTTCTGGACAGCTGACCAAAGCCCCACGAGAATCATTAAAGACGCCTATTGGGTTTGCTGCAGGAGAAAAGAACTGAATTTTCTCCGTTGGGCTGGTGCCAGTTATCGAGCTGGAAAGGAAGGTTGTGGCTGTAAGAAGGGCAGAGCAGAGCTCTGGAGATGAAAACACAGGTCTGCACATGGAATGTGCCTGCTGGCACATCCCTGGGGGAGGTGAGGCCTTTCACGGCTCACCTCTTCCCATGGATGTTCTGGTTGCGGGGAACGCACAAGGCAGGTTTCTGTAAAACTGGAGGTGTTGAGTAGTATGAGTTCCTTGCTTTCCCTCCATCCCCTGGGGAATGGCACCTGTTCTAAATGTAACTCAAAGGTAGAGAAAAGAATCAGAGATCCTTTTAGCGAAGTAGACCAAGAGATTTTTACTGAGGCACTTATTCTCACAAGGAAAATAATTTGATTGTTGTGTAAATAAACGCTTGACTTTCATTCTGCCCTTTATCCACGTGGACTCTGAATTCTCTCTAGCTCCATACCAAGGGACATAGAATGGAGCCAAGTGACAAATCTGGGAGAGGAAAAGAGAGTGCACTAGGGAAGGGAGCAGAAAGTTGAAAGGGCCTATGGGCTCAGGGGCCTGAGAGAGGAGCAGGCGGGAGGCCCCGCTGACTCGGAACCTGTGTCCAGCACACAGGCTCACCTGGGAGGCCATGGAGCTCCCAGGAGTTAAAGAGAGCTAAGTGAGCCTAACATGGTTTTCTGGACCCTGGGGAAGACTGCCCCGGCCTCTGACTGAAGGACATAGTAGAGAGTGGGTGACATTTACATTCTTCTTTAATAGTCCCAAGCACTCCCATCTCTGGTTGTCAAGCGAAGCCCTAAGATTTGCCTGGGTTTCTGCAATAGTATCCTCCCTCTTTGCAACCAACCAAAAAACGTGTCACCTCATCCCTCAAGCAGGGGTTGCTCCAGAAAACAAGGGGAGGAGTTAAAGCTGGCTCAGGAATGCCTCTTTCCACCATACCTCTCCATGCAGCTCCCCCAAAGACATTGGAACAGTAGCTTCTTCCGAAAGAAGTGCATAGTCTGCAGATTCCTTCCTGTAAGGGAAGGTGGGTGAAGGGTAAATAAACCTTTTCCTTCTGAATGAGAACTTGACTTTAGGTTAGCAATATAGCTCTGTTACTCTGGCAACCTCTTAAGGGTAGGTAACAAACTACATTTCCAGGCAACATTACTAAAGACAAAAATGACCCCTGATTGGTAAATTGCATCTGGACTGGGAGGAACTATATAGAACCATGCTTTGCTGAGGATGCCATGCTTTGGGCTCCCCTGAGTGTGGGGACTTTGTAAGAGGCATTTCTTGGGGCTGTGAAAGCTACGTTTAGGGATTTGTTACAGGAATAGTTCTGGCTCCTTTGGGAAGTGAGGATTTTCAGCCTGGTTGGCGCCCGCACTTGCCCCAGGTGGATCTCATCCCTTGTACCTCAGCCATCCCTGGGGAGAAGTTAGTGCTGAATCAACAATATGGGCCGATGAAGTGATGCAGGACTTTCACAGAGAGAAACTCTGGAGCTGCCCTACTAGTGACCTATCCTCCTGGCCTATAGCCTTCTGAGTATACCAGCTGTGGCTGTAATTACCTTAAATGTGAGTGTTCAGCTGAGGCTAAGTAGACCCTCTGAAGAGGAGTATAGACAGTATATAACTGACGTCATGTTAATGTGTTACTCCTTTCAGGGATAATTAGCTTTTGCAGAGATAGACTAGTGGGTGGAGGACACAGGAGTCCAGAAACATGCCCAGCATGCCTTAAATCATGCTCATAGGGCACACTCTAGCTGTTCACCCTCACCTCAAATGATGCCCAGGAAGAAAATGGTAGTATCTGATTTTGCTTTGCTGTACTCATCGTCCCAAGCTGTTAGAGGTATAATGACCACAATGGACTTCCACTTAGCCCTTCTTACCATAAAGGCTCTAATTTCAACATTGAATGGAACAGGTGCGAGGGATTTCCATCTTCTAAGTTGATCTATCCCAATGATAAATGCAGTGGGAAAATAACCACTAGTTCTTCTGTGACATGGACTTGGGCCAGAATTCCATTTATCCCCTGCCCTCCATGTTCTTCTAACCAGAGAATGGTAGTAAATGACATGTGAAATTTCCTGGTAGTGTTTTAAGGTTAGAACCCACATGTATCCTTTCTTGAAACATCCTTTTCCCAATGCACAGTTATTCTGGTAAGTAGCTGTAGGTCACTTTGAGGAGGGACTGTGGGTATGCTTATCAGATATACTTGTAAGGGGTCTTTAAGGAGACCCAGCCTCCCCTTCCATCAGTGTGTTCTGGGTCTGTGAACTCAAACAGGAACTTGGGTAATGGTCCATGAATCTTCCATTGCAGCGTCTGACTTTAGCTTTCTGCCTTCTAGCTCTTAAGGTAAAGGTTGTTGCTGGGGGGTTTTTGTTGAAAAAAATGAAAGTCAAGAAACACTACATTGCTATCCATCTATGTTACTCCTCGGAATACTATGTTCTAAGTTATGCATCATCGCAGGCTTGAAGCAAAGCACTGTCAGGTTGCACGTGTGGAAAGCTAATTAAGGCCTGGGAGGTTAATGTCTGCAGTGGAACACAGATGTGTCCGATATACTAAGGCCAGGGGTCAGAGTCTATGCTGGCCCCAGGTGATTTCTACTCCCTGGCATTGTGTAGGCCCCACCTGCTGACCAATAAAGTATGGCAGTATGGAGTAGCTTCTGACCAGTAGAATGAGGCAGTATTGAAAGGATGTCCCTTCTGTGGTTAGGTTACCAAAATTGTGAGCTCCAATTCTCTTTTTTGTTGGCTCTGATGAAGTGTGTTGCCATATTAGAAAGAGCCGTATAGCAAGGAACTAAGTGCAGCCTGCAGCCCACAGCCAGCAAGCAGTGGGTCCCTCCATTCCAATACCGCCGAGGAATGGGTTCTCCCAACAACACGGCAAGTGAGCCTGGAAGCAGACCCTCTCCTCAGTGAGCCTCAGGGGGACCCTCACCCTGGCTGACACTGGCCACAGCCTTGTGAGAAGCTGAAGCAGACATCCAGCTAAGCCAGATGCTGATTCACAAAAACCGTGAGTTAAAAAATGTATGTTGCTTTAAGCTGCTAAGTTTTAGGGCAATTAGTTACTAGAATGACCAGCAGTCCTGGTTTGCCTGGGAGGTATGAGTGTCAAACCCCATAGTCCTATACTTGTGATGCAGCAATGGAGAACTAATACTTTTATGCATGTGTGATTTCTCACACAGGTGTGTCTTCAAGGTAGATTTCTAGACGTGGGCTTTGGGGGATTTAGATGGTAAATTCCTCTAGAATTTCATTAGATATTTCCAGATTCTCTCTCGTGCGGTTGTACCATTTTGCACTGCATTGAATTGGCCACATGAGAGTTGCCTGTTTCTCTTTGTTCTCATAAGAGTTTGTTCCCATTATCTATTTATTTAATTTAATATATGATTGTAAGTGTAAGCTGGCTCAAATTATCTTAGAATAAAGAATGCATTTACACATGAACACTAATAGGATTAAAGGGCATGGTTTATACTTTGTTTATTCCTATGAACTCATTTCACTGCACTCACAAAAGGACACAAACAAATCTGACTGAGTCCAGTCAGTCTCTCATGGGTTGGATGTGGGTGCGTGTCTCCTTGGCCTCCCTCCTCCATCGCTTGCTTTCATGTAACTGGGTGACTGAACGTTCAATTTCACATTCAGCCTATTGGTCGTACGCCATGAGTCGAGTTAGCTCAAATGGCACGTTTCACTTCGGGGTTGGACTAGGATACCAGAGGAATGAGTGATGCAGTGGAGGGAACAAAAGATGGTGGCTTGAGTGGACCTGTTGGGACTGCTGGCAGAAATGGCATGTTCAGATATCTGTGTTCTCAGGCACTGAACTCAAGGGAATAAACATGGCTGGGATAGGAAGCTGATGAGCTGGCTAGCGTATGCCCTGTCTAGACAACCAGTACCAGCAGTCACATGACCACAGGCATGGTGTCAGCATTCGTTTTCCAAAGTAAATTAAAATGACAGTTTTAGGAAAATATTTAATTCTGGCTCCTTAAAAACAAAAAACAAAACAACCCCCCCCCCCCCCCCCCCCCAGCAACACAACAGTGCAGCAAAAAACATGTCTACGGGCCCACCGTGGCCTGCAGGCTGCCAGTCCAGGGCTATGGGAATGTGGAGAAGTGAAAAGTGAGTCAGAATTTACTGAGCACCTATGGACATGGTTTTTCATATCATTCTGGAATAAAGGAATTACCTGATGAGAAAACTGAAGCTCAAGAAGGTTAAGTAACTTGTTTAAGATCTTATAACAAGATTGTGGCAGATCCATGCTCAAGTCTTTAGCCACCCAAACCTCTATTTTTTTCCACCTTACCAGACCAAGGTCAGTGCTGTAAAGGGTGTGAATGACCTTTCCGTTTTTCTCAGACACTGTTCCTGAGCTGAAATTAAAGTGCAATGGAAGTGACCCCTGTTCCTTGGAACTTTGTTACCCAGGGGCATCAACAGGACCGACACCTACTTCACAGTTGTGTAGAAGTGTCCTTGGGTGGTCCCGTGGGCGGTGCTCCACCGAGCCCCCCCTTGGTGTGTGTGCAGTGGCTTCCATGCGACTGGAAGTGCGCACAACCGAAGTGTGTCAGTGTTGATTTCCCCTGTGCTGGTTTCAATCCCCCTTTTAAGAAATATTATTTGCGTGAAGGAAACTCTAATGAGGGTAAAATTAGATTAGGAGCCTCCTGTAGATGAACTGTTCTGCTTATGCCCTGTACCTGGCAGAGCTTAGGACCTTGTTTATTATGCCCTCTGTTTACAGTCCTGGCATCCCCCACATTGCTCCCCCTGAAAGTCTGTATGGGGTGTGAATGGAAGATTTGTGAAATGGGTGAATGGGGCTCTTGTAATAGAAATGAGGTCCTGAAGCCTTGGGCCCACAGGCAATCAGTCACTGGTTGCAGGTCCTCTTAGATTTAAAAACCCTCAGTGGCTATTGTTATTATTATTATTAATATTAATTGTTATTGCTGTTTTATAAATCTGCTTTTCATCACTTCAGTCAGCAAGTCTCCCTATTCTTTACCCTTATTGGGACTTCACTTTTAAAAAAAAGTTTAGGAATTGCACCTCTATACCTGTCTTGTAGATTTAATTGTGTTTTCAACGATCAAGAATCTGAATTCTTTAGGGTCAAAATAAGTCAGCCTCTGCAAAATGCAAAATCATATAATTTAGTTAGGAAGTAATCTGATGCTCTTTGAGTATATTAGGTAGTCAGTCATATAAGAGAATGAGGAAATCAGTAATCTGGTAGCTAAAGTAGCGTTTTCCTGATTTGTAACAAGTTACATGGCTGGGAACACTTTTCCTGTAGTCCTGGGACATAAAATGGTATGACTTGTAAGTTATACATCTCTATTCATTTTCAGTTTAACCGAGAAGGGAAAGAGTGAAGATTAGCAGATTAAAATAATACCTGGTTCTGAGAAAGCTAAACCAGGGGAGAAATCAAACTATCATTTTTAACCTTTCATTTTTTAGCTTTCTTTCTACTTTTTAGAATCATTTGATAAAGTTAATTAAATTTTTTAATCAGGAATTGCTTTTGACTGCTACAGATAGAGACTCAAAATACCAATGTCTTTAATAAAATAAGGCTCCCATCCTCCCTTTTCTTTCATGTGAAACAGAGGCGGGCAGCCCTGGACTAGCACAGCAGCTTCGTGGTCATTACGACCATGCTCCTTCTCTCTCTCTTTTACACCTGCATCCTTGGCGTGCACCTTCTATGTTCAAGGTCACTGCACTGTCAAGAGATGGATGCTGGAGCTCTATGTATTTCTTCTGCCTTACAGACCTCAGAAAGAAGGAAAGGGAATGGATAAAGGCACTTGAATCTAAGCTGAATCAATTTTTGAAGACCTTTCCCTGAAACATTGTCCAGTAACTTCAGCTTAAATCTTATTGGCCATCTGTGCCTATAAAGGGGTGTGGAAACGTGGTTTTTCAGCTGGGCCCATTGCAGCGTCAACCCATGTAGATGTCCTTTACTAAGGAAGAAAGGAGAATGGCTACTAGGTGGGCAAGTCACAGCCTCTGCTGCAGTCACTGTGGTTTTACTTTTTGCTTTGGGCAGGCCTACCACTTAGGTGTGATGGTGAAGCCAAGGGGAATCACCACATCATGGGACAGGCTACCTTGGTCAGTACA